TTTTCATTTTCAATTTCATAGATTGTTTATAATGACTTTTGCTAAAATTTCAAAATCAAAAGTTATCAAAACAAATTCTATGGGACTGAGAAGTATTATTTTCTACTTTTTAGTCCATTTATAAAAGCGTTGTATATTAAAAAGTTTTTTTTATATTATTTATTTCTGACTAGTTTGGAGTTTCATTCAAACGAAGTATCAAAGTCAAATTGAAGTGATTTTGTTTTCGTATTCTTCGCTTTTATTGTCGCTTTGCCGGCGGTTCCACTTGCAGCCGTACGTACATATGTATGTACATATTTATGTACGTATTACTACGTTTATACGCATGCATAAGTCGCTTTAATTCATTTCGCCGCGATTCAAAACATATGTATAAACTGAATTTCAATTCGCTTTGAAACAGCGAAGTGTTTTGGCTCACACTCCATTTCAAATCGGTAGGTTATTTCTCCAGATAGTTAGAAAGAGTGTATAAACACCGCTCTCACTCAAAGCGATTTGGAGATCAGCTGTTCCGCTCAAATTCCAAATAATCACATCAGTATTTAAAAGCTGATTAATAATAATCGTTCTTTTTCTTTGCCACGATTTTATAATGCCGAATAAAACTAGATTTTTATCACTTTCCACTATGTTAACTTATAAAATGTCAAATGAAAACAGCTAATTTTGTTTGCTTTTGAAGACGGTTACTTTGATGCCGATATAAAGCCGTAAGTATAAACACTAGAGCGAAATGTGTACGGTGTCAATGCGCTTTCAATTAAGTCGATTATTCTGTGCGTATAAACGTGGAATATGTTGAGCTAGCCAATACGCGTATGTGTGTTTTTGTGCCGACGTAGATTCTACGTGCGTAAATATGTCGGCGCATAGAATTGAATTCCTCAGCATCAAACTAAATTTAAAAATATCCAGCACTCGCACCGAATAGACAACACGATCAAAACCAATCATTGATACTGCATTTCAAAGATATATCTTAACTTAAGTATATATTTCACATTTAAGTTACCATAAGCAACTCGTCCCGTTCGTAGAAATTTGAACATGGGTCTAAATAATGATAAAATGAAAAATTATAACATTAAAAAATTTAAAACGAAAAATTATAAGAACTTATCCACTTCGTACCAATATTACAACAAACAAACGCATTCATCTCATTCTCTCGTAGTTTAATTTTATGAAGGTTTCACTTCTACCGGGTGTGCACTTCACACATATGTTTTAACAACATTTACCTGCTGTGTCTACATTTGACTAAATTATTATTATGTAATTCTACTTTTTTATATCCATCAATAATGTACTATTTGGCCCTTTTTGATCAATAATCTGGAATGGAGCTTTAAATGGTTTTTCAAACTTTCTTTGTTTCCTACTTTTACATATGAATGGGCTAGAAACATAAGGGTCTAAATGACATTTTTTGGAAATATAAGTTATACCCATATTTGTATAGTTAAATATAGTATTTATTTGGTGACAAAGAGTAAAGATTCTTTGAATTAGTTAATTAACATGCATTCATTTAGGCAAGAACTATTTCAAATGACTTTACCCAGAATTTACAATAAGTAATCAACTTTAACTTTAATTATAATTCTAGCTTAAGAAATTGCAAGTTTGAAGTGGATAAAAATTTGCGGTGGTTGTTGATAATTTTTTTTTTGGCGGATGGTGTTACTAATTGCTTCCATAAAAAAAAATTGCCAAACATACTTTGAATGGAAGAAAATGCGTGACACCGTCAGAAAAAAATTATCAAAAATCAAAGCGATTTATTTTAGGTATTTCATAGGCTTATTGATCCCTCTTATGTGCAAGAAAACACTGTTCTTCACGTTTTTACCCGACGTTTCGCTAAAATCCTTAGCATCTTCAGGGGTGTTTTATTTTCACATCAACATACATATAAATAGACATACAATTTAAAATTAGTAATGACATAAAAAATGTGTGAACAGTTCTACAAACAATAATAAAAAACAATCACTGATTTTTAAAGGATTTTTAAAGGATTTTTAAAATTTTGCACTTACATATGAACACGAGTTTCAAAATTCACGTACATATATAAACAAATAAATAACACAAAAACTTAAACTAATTGGTCCGTATCGATACCAACGTCGTGTGGTACACTTGTCATACTGTTGATTTTAGCTATAAACATAATAAATAAGCAGTCGCGATGTCATCCGTGTCTTCCTTTTTGTTCATTGTCTTGTCCCTCTTCTGTAATATCCGTAAGCTTTCCAACGTGAATCTTGTTCTCTCCCTCTTTTCTTTGTCTATTATTTTCGTTTTAGTTAGATCAGCTGTGTGTCCGCTTGCTGATATGTGTTGTGATAGTGCCGTGTTGCTCTTGTTCTTCTTGATGTCCGCTTCATGCTCCGATAAGCGAACTGCAAGCGGCCTTTTTGTCGTTCCAATGTAAATTCTATTACACTTTTCGTTTTCACTTCCTTCGCATGTTATTTCGTACACTACGTTATTTTGTTGGTGCGGCTCTATTGGAGTTTTTGTTTTGGTAAATACTGAAGACAACGTGTGATTTGATCGGTATGCTAGTATTGTATTTTGGTTGTTAGTGTATTCCTTGCGATCAATTTTTTCGCTGAGTCTAGGTACGTATGTTACACTGTAGTAGCGTTTTGTCTCATTATTAGTTGTTGTGATCGTAGGGTTATTGCGTTTGTCATTAATTTGTGTTGTTATTTGTTTAACTAGGCTATGAATTATGTGCTCCGGGTAGTTGTTACTTCTAAGAATGTTGAATATTTTCTTTATATTTGTGTCATGAAATTGTTGATGGCTTATTTTTAGTATCTTATTAATTAAGTTCTTAGCAGTATTAATTTTGTACTTAGAGGGTTGTGACGACAAATAATTTATTAAACGTCCCGAGGATGTAGGTTTCGAATACCAGTCAAGTATTAAAGAGTCATTTCTTCTATGGATCATAACGTCTAAAAATGGGATCCGGAAATTTGCCTCTGTTTCTATTGTGAACTGCAATTTTCGATGATATTTGTTGAGTGTTTTCAATATAATGTCCACATCCTTTCGTTTAACTATGGCAAAAATGTCATCCACATATTTTACTATAAATTGTATATCAATTTTATAGATTTCTTTAAGTTCTATCATAGTTGCGTTCAGTAAATCGTCCATTATAATGTCAGCAATAGTGGGTGAGAGAGGGTTTCCCATTGGCATTCCAAAGGTTTGAATGTAGAATTTTTCGTTGCACGCGAAATAATTATTATCCTTCAGGCAGAAATTAAGGATATTTAGAAATTTGTTTTTGGGGATGTTCGTCGACTGTTTTATTGTGCTCCATTTTGACATTATGATATTAATGGCTAAGGGTATCGGAATGTTGGTAAACAACGATACCACATCAAAAGACACCAGCAATTCTTCCTCACTTACTTTTACTTTATCCAGTTTATCTTTTAATCTGAACGCATTTTTTATATTGTATTCCTCAGAGATGAGATTACTGAGAATCTTACCTACATATTTGGACAAACCATAACACGGAACATTGATGGACGAACAAATTGGCCTTAAGGGCAAGTCAGGTTTGTGGATCTTTGGTAATCCGTAAAGTCGTGGTGCAATCGCTGCTGTGCATACGAGTTGTTGTTTACCTCTGTAGTCAATAATTTTGCTTTTGTACAATTCGTCAACCAGGGTGTTGTTCTTTCTCTGTAGCGCATTTGTTGGATCGTTTCTTACTATTTTATACGTGTTTTTGTCATCAAGTAGTTTGTTCATCTTCTCTGTGTAGTCCTCTTTGTACATTACCACTGTTTTGTTTCCCTTATCTGCGTCTGTTAAGATAATATCGTCTTTGTGCGACTTTAAGAAAGTTTTGGTCTTATTGAATGTTTCTAATATAAATTTTTCTGCTGAGTTGTGCCTTATATTCCGTTTAAATTGTATTATATTATTGCTGAGTTTGCATCTTGCAATTTCCTTGACTCTGTCATCCTTTTCTTGTTGTATGATTTGTTCAATTTCTGCAATCATTCGGATCGGTTGGAAACTAGTCTTCGTTGTGGGTAGTGTGAATTTCCTGCCTAATGACAGCAGCCACTTTGTTTCTACTGGGAAATCTATGTCCGTTTTGTTTACAAACCAATCGTTGTTTAAACCTATTCCCAGCTTCTGCATTTGTTGGTATTTTAGTCTCTCGAGCTTAGATGTTTGTATTGTTTCGCGTTCTTTTTTAATTCTCTGGCTGATGCAGTCTTGCTTGCAGATAAAGGAATCCAGTTCTATTTTGCTTATGCTGTGTTTAAGTTGTTGTTGCGCGTGATGTAGATGGGTCTTAGAAGTCTTAATATTCATGTTTGTTTGTGTAATTTCTATATTGAGTATTTTCTTTAAAAAAAGTTGTTTTGTTTTTTCGGTTTGTGCTTTTAGTTTGTGGGATGTGGTGTTTATATTAACCTTCTTGATAGCGTTTGTCAAGTGATTTGGCAGTAGGTTATATTTCCTGCATTCTAATAAGAACTTAAGTTGCGCCATTTGTTTGGCTAACTTCTGTTTTAGTTTACTGTAGCATTTCAGTGTCATGCATGTGTGTTCGCCGTGTTTGTACTTCATATGTTTGTAGAAGTCCTTCATGTTTGTTATTGTGATTCTTCGTTGATGTTTAATAAAAAGAAAAAATATATACTTCGGCAGGCCTTCCGAGATTATACAATTTGATTATTAGTTGATGATCAATTTTTGTTATCTTATTTTAGGTATTTCATAGGCTTATTGATCCCTTTTATGTGCAAGAAAACACTGTTCTTCACGTTTTTACCCGACGTTTCGCTAAAATCCTTAGCATCTTCAGGGGTGTTTTATTCTCCTTTTATTTTCACATCAACATACATATAAATAGACATACAATTTAAAATTAGTAATGACATAAAAAATGTGTGAACAGTTCTACAAACAATAATAAAAAACAATCACAGATTTTTAAAGGATTTTTAAAATTTTGCACTTACATATGAACACGAGTTTCAAAATTCACGTACATATATAAACAAATAAATAACACAAAAACTTAAACTAATTGGTCCGTATCGATACCAACGTCGTGTGGTACACTTGTCATACTGTTGATTTTAGCTATAAACATAATAAATAAGCAGTCGCGATGTCATCCGTGTCTTCCTTTTTGTTCATTGTCTTGTCCCTCTTCTGTAATATCCGTAAGCTTTCCAACGTGAATCTTGTTCTCTCCCTCTTTTCTTTGTCTATTATTTTCGTTTTAGTTAGATCAGCTGTGTGTCCGCTTGCTGATATGTGTTGTGATAGTGCCGTGTTGCTCTTGTTCTTCTTGATGTCCGCTTCATGCTCCGATAAGCGAACTGCAAGCGGCCTTTTTGTCGTTCCAATGTAAATTTTATTACACTTTTCGTTTTCACTTCCTTCGCATGTTATTTCGTACACTACGTTATTTTGTTGGTGCGGCTCTATTGGAGTTTTTGTTTTGGTAAATACTGAAGACAACGTGTGATTTGATCGGTATGCTAGTATTGTATTTTGGTTGTTAGTGTATTTCTTGCGATCAATTTTTTCGCTGAGTCTAGGTACGTATGTTACACTGTAGTAGCGTTTTGTCTCATTATTAGTTGTTGTGATCGTAGGGTTATTGCGTTTGTCATTAATTTGTGTTGTTATTTGTTTAACTAGGCTATGAATTATGTGCTCCGGGTAGTTGTTACTTCTAAGAATGTTGAATATTTTCTTTATATTTGTGTCATGAAATTGTTGATGGCTTATTTTTAGTATCTTATTAATTAAGTTCTTAGCAGTATTAATTTTGTACTTAGAGGGTTGTGACGACAAATAATTTATTAAACGTCCCGAGGATGTAGGTTTCGAATACCAGTCAAGTATTAAAGAGTCATTTCTTCTATGGATCATAACGTCTAAAAATGGGATCCGGAAATTTGCCTCTGTTTCTATTGTGAACTGCAATTTTCGATGATATTTGTTGAGTGTTTTCAATATAATGTCCACATCCTTTCGTTTAACTATGGCAAAAATGTCATCCACATATTTTACTATAAATTGTATATCAATTTTATAGATTTCTTTAAGTTCTATCATAGTTGCGTTCAGTAAATCGTCCATTATAATGTCAGCAATAGTGGGTGAGAGAGGGTTTCCCATTGGCATTCCAAAGGTTTGAATGTAGAATTTTTCGTTGCACGCGAAATAATTATTATCCTTCAGGCATAAATTTAGGATATTTAGAAATTTGTTTTTGGCGATGTTCGTCGACTGTTTTATTGTGCTCCATTTTGACATTATGATATTAATGGCTAAGGGTATCGGAATGTTGGTAAACAACGATACCACATCAAAAGACACCAGCAATTCTTCCTCACTTACTTTTACTTTATCCAGTTTATCTTTTAATCTGAACGCATTTTTTATATTGTATTCCTCAGAGATGAGATTACTGAGAATCTTACCTACATATTTGGACAAACCATAACACGGAACATTGATGGACGAACAAATTGGCCTTAAGGGCAAGTCAGGTTTGTGGATCTTTGGTAATCCGTAAAGTCGTGGTGCAATCGCTGCTGTGCATACGAGTTGTTGTTTACCTCTGTAGTCAATAATTTTGCTTTTGTACAATTCGTCAACCAGGGTGTTGTTCTTTCTCTGCAGCGCATTTGTTGGATCGTTTCTTACTATTTTATACGTGTTTTTGTCATCAAGTAGTTTGTTAATCTTCTCTGTGTAGTCCTCTTTGTACATTACCACCGTTTTGTTTCCCTTATCTGCGTCTGTTAAGATAATATCGTCTTTGTGCGACTTTAAGAAAGTTTTGGTCTTATTGAATGTTTCTAATATAAATTTTTCTGCTGAGTTGTGCCTTATATTCCGTTTAAATTGTATTATATTATTGCTGAGTTTGCATCTTGCAATTTCCTTGACTCTGTCATCCTTTTCTTGTTGTATGATTTGTTAAATTTCTGCAATCATTCGGATCGGTTGGAAACTAGTCTTCGTTGTGGGTAGTGTGAATTTCCTGCCTAATGACAGCAGCCACTTTGTTTCTACTGGGAAATCTATGTCCGTTTTGTGTACAAACCAATCGTTGTTTAAATCTATTCCCAGCTTCTGCATTTGTTGGTATTTTAGTCTCTCGAGCATAGATTATTTGTCGTCACAACCCTCTAAGTACAAAATTAATACTGCTAAGAACTCAATTAATAAGATACCAAAAATAAGCCATCAACAATTTCATGACACAGATATAAAGAAAATATTCAACATTCTTAGAATTAACAACTACCCGGAGCACATAATTCATAGCCTAGTTAAACAAATAACAACGCAAAGTAATGACAAACGCAATAACCCTACGATCACAACAACTAATAATGAGACAAAACGCTACTACAGTGTAACATACGTACCTAGACTCAGCGAAAAAATTGATCGCAAGAAATACACTAACAACCAAAATACAATACTAGCATACCGATCAAATCACACGTTGTCTTCAGTATTTACCAAAACAAAAACTCCAATAGAGCCGCACCAACAAAATAACGTAGTGTACGAAATAACATGCGAAGGAAGTGAAAACCAAAAGAGTAATAAAATTTACATTTGAACGNTACATCTCGAGACAATAAGCAGCCATTTTAAAATAAAATAGGTTGCAATAGGCAGCAAGCGGACACACAGCTGATCTAACTAAAACAAAAATAATAGACAAAGAAAAGAGGGAGAGAACAAGATTCACGTTGGAAAGCTTACGGATATTACAGAAGAGGGACAAGACAATGAACAAAAAGGAAGACACGGATGACATCGCGACTGCTTATTTATTATGTTTATAGCTAAAATCAACAGTATGACAAGTGTACCACACGATGTTGGTATCGATGCGGACCAATTAGTTTAAGTTTTTGTGTTATTTATTTGTTTATATATGTACGTGAATTTTGAAACTCGCGTTCATATGTAAGTGCAAAATTTTAAATATCCTTTAAAAATCTGTGATTGTTTTTTATTATTGTTTGTAGAACTGTTCACACATTTTTTATGTCATTACTAATTTTAAATTGTATGTCTATTTATATGTATGTTGATGTGAAAATAAAAGGAGAATAAAACACCCCTGAAGATGCTAAGGATTTTAGCGAAACGTCGGGTAAAAACGTGAAGAACAGTGTTTTCTTGCAAATAAAAAGGGATCAATAAGCCTATGAAATACCTAAAATAATATACCAAAAATTGATCATCAACTAATAATCAAATTGTATAATCTCGGCCTGCCGTATATATTTTTTCTTTTTATTAAACATCAACGAAGAATCACAACAACAAACATGAAGGACTTCTACAAACATATGAAGTACAAACACGGCGAACACACATGCATGACACTGAAACGCTACAGTAAACTAAAACAGAGGTTAACCAAACAGATGGCGCAACTTAAGTTCTTATTAGAATGCAGGAAATATAACCTACTGCCAAATCACTTGACAAATGCAATCAAGAAGGTTAATATAAACACCGCATCTCACAAACTAAAAGCACAAACCGAAAAAACAAAACAACTTTTTTTAAAGAAAATACTCAACATAGATATTACACAAACAAACATGAATATTAAGACTTCTAAGACCCATCTACATCACGCGCAACAACAACTTAAACACAGCATAAGCAAAATAGAACTGGATTCCTTTATCTGCAAGCAAGACTGCCTCAGCCAGAGAATTAAAAAAGAACGCGAAACAATACAAACATCTAAGCTCGAGAGACTAAAATACCAACAAATGCAGAAGCTGGGAATAGATTTAAACAACGATTGGTTTGTAAACAAAACGGACATAGATTTCCCAGTAGAAACAAAGTGGCTGCTGTCATTAGGCAGGAAATTCACACTACCCACAACGAAGACTAGTTTCCAACCGATCCGAATGATTGCAGAAATTGAACAAATCATACAACAAGAAAAGGATGACAGAGTCAAGGAAATTGCAAGATGCAAACTCAGCAATAACATAATACAATTTAAACGGAATATAAGGCACAACTCAGCAGAAAAATTTATATTAGAAACATTCAATAAGACCAAAACTTTCTTAAAGTCGCACAAAGACGATATTATCTTAACAGACGCAGATAAGGGAAACAAAACAGTGGTAATGTACAAAGAGGACTACACAGAGAAGATGAACAAACTACTTGATGACAAAAACACGTATAAAATAGTAAGAAACGATCCAACAAATGCGCTACAGAGAAAGAACAACACCCTGGTTGACGAATTGTACAAAAGCAAAATTATTGACTACAGAGGTAAACAACAACTCGTATGCACAGCAGCGATTGCACCACGACTTTACGGATTACCAAAGATCCACAAACCTGACTTGCCCTTAAGGCCAATTTGTTCGTCCATCAATGTTCCGTGTTATGGTTTGTCCAAATATGTAGGTAAGATTCTCAGTAATCTCATCTCTGAGGAATACAATATAAAAAATGCGTTCAGATTAAAAGATAAACTGGATAAAGTAAAAGTAAGTGAGGAAGAATTGCTGGTGTCTTTTGATGTGGTATCGTTGTTTACCAACATTCCGATACCCTTAGCCATTAATATCATAATGTCAAAATGGAGCACAATAAAACAGTCGACGAACATCCCCAAAAACAAATTTCTAAATATCCTTAATTTCTGCCTGAAGGATAATAATTATTTCGCGTGCAACGAAAAATTCTACATTCAAACCTTTGGAATGCCAATGGGAAACCCTCTCTCACCCACTATTGCTGACATTATAATGGACGATTTACTGAACGCAACTATGATAGAACTTAAAGAAATCTATAAAATTGATATACAATTTATAGTAAAATATGTGGATGACATTTTTGCCATAGTTAAACGAAAGGATGTGGACATTATATTGAAAACACTCAACAAATATCATCGAAAATTGCAGTTCACAATAGAAACAGAGGCAAATTTCCGGATCCCATTTTTAGACGTTATGATCCATAGAAGAAATGACTCTTTAATACTTGACTGGTATTCGAAACCTACATCCTCGGGACGTTTAATAAATTATTTGTCGTCACAACCCTCTAAGTACAAAATTAATACTGCTAAGAACTTAATTAATAAGATACTAAAAATAAGCCATCAACAATTTCATGACACAAATATAAAGAAAATATTCAACATTCTTAGAAGTAACAACTACCCGGAGCACATAATTCATAGCCTAGTTAAACAAATAACAACACAAATTAATGACAAACGCAATAACCCTACGATCACAACAACTAATAATGAGACAAAACGCTACTACAGTGTAACATACGTACCTAGACTCAGCGAAAAAATTGATCGCAAGAAATACACTAACAACCAAAATACAATACTAGCATACCGATCAAATCACACGTTGTCTTCAGTATTTACCAAAACAAAAACTCCAATAGAGCCGCACCAACAAAATAACGTAGTGTACGAAATAACATGCGAAGGAAGTGAAAACGAAAAGTGTAATAAAATTTACATTGGAACGACAAAAAGGCCGCTTGCAGTTCGCTTATCGGAGCATGAAGCGGACATCAAGAAGAACAAGAGCAACACGGCACTATCACAACACATATCAGCAAGCGGACACACAGCTGATCTAACTAAAACGAAAATAATAGACAAAGAAAAGAGGGAGAGAACAAGATTCACGTTGGAAATCTTACGGATATTACAGAAGAGGGACAAGACAATGAACAAAAAGGAAGACACGGATGACATCGCGACTGCTTATTTATTATGTTTATAGCTAAAATCAACAGTATGACAAGTGTACCACACGATGTTGGTATCGATGCGGACCAATTAGTTTAAGTTTTTGTGTTATTTATTTGTTTATATATGTACGTGAATTTTGAAACTCGTGTTCATATGTAAGTGCAAAATTTTAAAAATCCTTTAAAAATCTGTGATTGTTTTTTATTATTGTTTGTAGAACTGTTCACACATTTTTTATGTCATTACTAATTTTAAATTGTATGTCTATTTATATGTATGTTGATGTGAAAATAAAAAGAGAATAAAACACCCCTGCAGATGCTAAGGATTTTAGCGAAACGTCGGGTAAAAACGTGAAGAACAGTGTTTTCTTGCACATAAAAGGGATCAATAAGCCTATGAAATACCTAAAATAATATACCAAAAATTGATCATCAACTAATAATCAAAGCGATTTGTTAGACACTTAAAACTTGCACTATCTTGATCTAGAATTCAGTGGGCTATAAAACTGCATACACTTATTTAAAAAGTTTGGTGTTGTTTTAAAATTTTGTTGAATTTTTCTATTTTTTTTACAAAGTTTGAAATTTGTTTTTTGTTAGAAAGTGAGTCGTATTTTTATAAAAAAAAAATAAACATTAAACAAACAGAAAAAAATAGCCGAAACTGATCACAATATCGTGTCCCTTTTATTTTTCACATGACTGAATGTGGGCGTGTCCAACCCCGCCCACTTTTACATATTACAGTTTTTATTTTAACAGACCTTAGGGTAATAATTTTATCCCGATATGTTCGCCGACGCTTAGTCTTTTTGAAGACTCAACAAAATCTATTTTCGGGCACCACGATTTGAATTGGTGGAACTGCTGATTTTTGGCGTTTGGGTCC